CATGAAGCATTGATTCATGTTCAACCCTGGAAAAGAATCACTCTAGAAATAGTATTTTCTGGCATCTTTGTTCATTAGGAAAAGGTACGAAACTACCACTTTCATACAAAACGATGGAAAGTATTTAGATGGCGCCTATAAGATATTCAATAAGATTTTAGTATCATGTCAAACTCATAACCTTGACGCAACAAATCAAATGCAAATATTTTGCAATGGTCTCAAATTGAAGACGAAGCAACTACTAAATAAAATAGTCGGTGGCTCATTAAACTTTACAACAACCACTATAATCACAAAGATCATTAAAACTATTGTGTCAAATGAACAACTAGAATTAAATGACATGTGTTCCAGTACTATGGAAAGAGTAATACATCTGAAACTAGCTGATTACCAAAAGAAATTTGAAGAGCATATAACATCCGAAGTGGAAAAAAGATTGAAGACGCTGAATATTTTAAAGTCGCAAGTTGCTTAGGTACAACAAAGGAGCATCGTCGGGTGTGAATGGTGTGGAGGACCTAATTTCACTATGCATTGTGAGACCCATTTAGCTAGTGATACACATGTGGAAGAAATTGATTTTCTTAAATAGAACAACCCCTACTCAAATATATACCATCCATGATAGAAAAACCACCCAAACGTTTCTTGGAAGGATTAGCAAAGGGCACAATAAGACAATTCACAGTGTTATATCACGCATCTTAACAATACTTTCCATAATGTTTTCAAACTCTCATTACTATTTTTCAAAGAATGTTTCCCTAGTATTCGTGCTATAAATGATTTGTATTTAAAATCCTTTGGATGAACATCTTTTATTCACGAACACAAAAATATTGAGAAACATGAATCGCGTGCTATGATTGTATGTTCTCCATACAAAAAGTATATTAATGTTTTGATCTAAAGAAAAAAAAATGTTTGTAATTATGGATGTAACATTCTTTGAAAACAAATATGTTTTAATGACACTCATCTTTTAAGGGGAATTTTAAGGAAGAAGAAGACTCGTTTAAAACTGACATAAGTTTTTTTTAATTCGTCATTGTCAATATCACAAAATTTTGAGACTTGATCTTAGAACCAAGAACTAACGGTTATGATTCCCCTACTGAACCTACTCAAACTATAGGTGAGGAACTTAGTGAATATGAGCCTGCATTTTCTCATGAAAACAATAATGAGAATAGTAAAGATGATGATGATGATGAAACACTTGTAAAAAACATATTTGATGCGAGAAATAAGATTTGGAAAGGGAGTGTATTTTTGAAAGAAAAAAACACGAGGAGGCTGATAAGTCCACATCTCAACACTACCATGAATCTCAATTGGTGAATGATCGACCTTCTAAGAAAAATAAAGCTAAATATATTTTAGTGAAAAGAACAACACTTTGAGTGTTTTCACACTACCATATGTAAGAATATTGTGGGGTGCAAATGAGTGTTTACTATGAAATATAATTCATATGGTTAAGTTGAAATATATAAAGCCCAGTTGATTGCTAAAATTTTCACTCAAATCTACGATGTAGATTACTCAGATACATTAGATCATGTTGCAAAGTTGAACACTTTAAGAATCACCTTATCTATTGCTGCCAACTTAAAGTGGTATATACATCAGTATCAGTTGGATGTTAAAAATGTATTTATCAATGGAGATCTGGATGAAGAAGTATAGATGGATATACCTATTGATTTTGAAAATGATTTTGGATCTAATGTATGCAAACGAGAGAAGTAGTTGTATGGGGTAAAGCAGACCCCTAGAGTTTGGTTTGAAAAGTTCACTTAGTCAATGAAAAATAGTGTTACATTCAAGGCCAAACTCATCACATATTATTCCCAAATTTCTTCCACAGTGGGAAACTTGCACTAATAGTCTATGTCAATGTTATTATTCTTACTAGAGATGATATATATGAGATGTTTAGAGTAAAAGAGAAACTAGTTATCGAATTTGAAATCAAGGACTTAGGATCCTTGAGATGCTTTCTTGGTATGTAGGTTTCTCGATCAAAGAAGAGAATTATCGTTTCCCAAAAAAAAATATTTTAGATCTTCTGAAAGAAACTGGAATGAGTGGCTGTAGACCAGCAAATACTTCTATGGAACCTAATGTAAAACTATTAGAAAAATGGGAAGTTCTTGTGGAGATCAGAATGTATGGAATATTGATAGGTAAACTAATTTATTTGTCTCATACTAGACCGAACATTTCCTTCTTAGTTAATGTGGTATGTTAATTTATGCATTCTTCTTTTGAGGAACATTTTGAGGTGTTTTTACAGAATCTGGAGGTATCTGAAAGTTAATCAAGGAAAGGGCTTATTTAAAAAAAGACTATTAAAAGGAAATTCTTTAGATTTTGTACATATGTTTAGGGGTAATCTTGTAACTTGGAGAAGTAAGAAATAAAGAATAGTAGTAAGAAGTAGTGCAGAGGCTAAAATTAGAGTTATAGCTCAAGGTATCTATCTGTGAAAGGTTGTGGATCCATAGAATTTTAGAAGAATTGAAACTAAATAATAAATTCCACTGAAGTTATACTCTGACAATAAGTTAACCATCTACATAGCACATAATCCAGTCAACATGATAGGATTATTGAGATAGATTGTCACTTTATAAAAGAGAAATCAGACATCGGTCTCATATACTTACCATTTCTAACTTCAACTCAACAAATTGCAAACATCTTCATCAAAAGTTTGGCTAGACTCACATTTGAACATTTTATAGATAGGTTAGGTATGATAAATATCTCCAACTTGAGGGGATGTTAGAGTAACCATATAATTTTTATATTTATTTATTTTTTACATTTAATCATTTTTATTATAATAATAATTCACTAGAATTTTCTTCTATGATTAAATAATAAAATATAATAGTATTCATTATTTTCTAATAAATAGACACATCAAATTAATTTTTTTATAAAGGAAAGGGCAAAAGCCCAAACAAAGAAAAACTTTACAACAATCATTCTAGGGGTAGTGAAAAGTCCGGGACCAGATGACATTAACTTTGGGTTCATCAAAGAATTTTGGGGGGTCATTAAAGAGGATTTGATCAAATTCATAGTAGAGTTTCATTCAAATGGGAGGTTGGTGAAAGGCTCTAACAGTTCTTTTTTAACTCTAATTCCAAAAGTTGAAAATGCGGTGCAGATGAAACCTCGCCGAATTGGAAATTTTGTCGATCTTGATAATATTAACTGTTATCATAGAATCAATGTTTATTTCCACCACTCAAACCTTAACCGCCACACATTACTCAACTCTTCCAACAAATTAATTTAGTTTACAACTTTTTGACATTTTTTAAGTGTCACAGTTTTATAGAACTATTTAGAAATCGTAACATCCGATTCAACCCAATTATTTGATTCGATTATGCGATTCAATCAATAACTCTTTTGTCATAAAATATTTAGATGAATATTTATTTTCTTTCCCACAAATCCACATAACCAAGGCATTATTACTTAACTCTAATTCTAATAGGATGTGACTCATTTGTCCTAGAGTGAATTGCATCAAAGACACAAAGACAAACCAATTTGACACATAGTCACCATTGTCAACCACTCCCATCTCAATCCCCAGGCTCTTTGAGAAGCCATTTGAATATTATTCTAAAATTGTGACCAACTAGTCATAGCCATTTTCATAAAGCAAAGTTTATTTTAACCTTTATTTGTCACATCTCCACCAAAGAAATTAAAAAACCTCCCACTTTTTCTATATATAACAGCAGGCGTGGACCTCACTTCTCCACCAACCAAACCATCACAGAGCTTATTTTACATTTTAAAAGTTTGCAAAAATATATATATTAGAATAATGTTTTGTACGGACAACACACACCAACCACACTCAATCATGTATGACACATGACACATGATACAATATAATGTGATCTGTGCATATATATAACATTATAATTGGCTCATCAGTAAATCAAAGAGATTGCATGTGGTATGCAACTAGAAGAATTAAAGGTGTACTTAAAGTCCATTCAATATCAAAAAGCTGTACATCTAACAAATATACATATAATATCTTTATAAAAAAACTAAATTCAACAATACAGCTATATAATTTTGTGTTCGTCGTAATTCTGTCAATCCAAACATGCATTTCATCTTGAAAACCGAATGATTCTGTCAATTTTACCGTGAATGTTTCCAAACATAAGTACTTTGTCTCAAAAGCCGAGTGATTTTGTCTATTTTACAGTCTTGAAAATCGAGTGATTCTGTCAATTTTACCGTCAATACTTCCAAACATATATACTTTGTCTTGTCTTGGAATCAGAGTGATGTTGTCAATGTCAATCTTACTCTAACTTTGTCTTTGGAAACTAAAGAAGATTAGTGAAATAGATAATAAAGAACATACATGTCTTAATCATTGTTAATTATGATTATAGTCTAATACACGAGTATTAAAAAGTGAAGTACAGCCTGAATGTTCCACATTCTAAACGACATTGCCACTGCAAAGTATCAGGATATTTGTCCATTAGCAACTTGTACAAATGAACATGTGATTTCAAGAAACTGAAACTTCTCTATTAAACTTCTTAAACGTAGTTTCAAAAAAGTTTCTTCTATCAAAACAATGAGTGTGGATGAAGTTCAGTAGATGCGTATCGTTCAAATTCATCGTAAAAACAAACAGATACTTAGTTTGTAGCTTCTCCCAAATCACGGAGAAATCGTGTTTTATCGACAAGCTACAAAGTTTAAGCTAAGAACACACCCATGACATTATAAAAAGGATGGAATTAGAAACTGTAAACAATATATAGCTCTGTTGTATTTCAAATGTATCCATGAATACCCAAATAACCATAATTAATCAGCCAGTACAGTTTGTATAAAACTGTTGAAACATGAAACAGAGAAAATCATAGTAAACTTCAACTTAATAAGAATGGAGTAAATAGCCAAAAACATTGATTTCTATGATGAACAATCTATGGAGCAATGTCAAGCCTAGGCTCAAAGCAAAAACCAGAGAAAACCTGTAGAGGGAACCTCTTTGGAACGGGGCATTTCTGCGACCATTTCCATTGTTTAACGTTCATGTCGAATGTGAGAAGTGCGGGAGATCCATAACTTTGAATATATATTAGATCATCTATGCCTCTGCTACCGAAAACCTCGTCAAACTCTCCAAAGCCTTGGAAGTATTTGTGTGGCATTCGGACAATCTCTTCCCATCTCCTGTCATGAAGAACCCAAATACCAATTCCTTTGATTATGTCCGGTCGATCGGCTTTTCCAATTCCTCCTACCATTACAAGCTTCTCCTTCATATTCATAAGACGGGCGCATGATAGAGAACACGGTACTGAAATAAAACTCTTTCTCAAACTAGTTTGTGAAGATCGGCCGGAGAGATTATACGCAACTAATGCGTGACGGTTTTCCGATGGCACACCCCCGGTAGATTGAACGACAAAATACAGTACACCATTGCATATAACACTCTCGTCTGCACCTCTCCACCCGATCAAAACCTCGGTTAGCTGTGTCGCCCAAGTCTCCTCCTCTGATTTGTAAATATGAATCGAGATATCCCATTGAAAAAAGTTTTCAGGAACTTGCTTAGATTTCACAATTCCCACAGTATAACCATGGGATTCCTTGTCAACCGACATTGCTAACGTGACATAATCAGAAAATCTCAACCCCGGAGGCTCCGGAAGCACCCTGCAGCTTTTGGCAATAGGATTGCACACACATAATTGGCTTCTACTGCCGTTATCCATGAAGCAAACTAGGCCACGTGATGACGAAATGAACCAATTAGAATTTCCAATGAAGGGAAGCTCAATGCAATACCAATTCCGAAGATTCGGATCATAAACACGACCAGTTGGTTCTTCGGAGCCAGTAAACATAAAATACCAAGGCTTCTGCGGTGGCGAGTTGGAAGGATTCCATATAAACCTTTGAGAAGTAACAATCTCATACCATCTTTTACACACGCTCCTCGCTCTGAAAATGCTTGCAACCGGGAGATAGGCTAGAATACGCTCCAATAACTCGTCAGGCATTACGTCCAAGGAAATACCAGTCTCTTCTTTATTAACTTCGTCTCTAGGTTCCGATAACAAATCAATGTCCCTAGTCTCCTTTCTAGTTTCATCATCATAGTGGCTGATCCATGCAGTTTCTCCAGCCATAATAGAATCAAAAGTAACAGCCTAATGAACACATTAGAAGAAGAAACGGTTAATGAGCAAAACAAAACAACACCAACAATACCATTGAAAGAACACAAACAAGATCAAATTGATTGGAAGTAAACTAGTTTAAACCCTGAGCGCAACAATCTTCGGCCCAGCCAGACTCAACTTACCGCCCGATTAAAATCTATATCATCACGACCTTTATGCTCAAAAACTGAGGGTTAAGACCATAAAGAAGATCAAATGCACAGATCAACAGAAAACTTTCCAACACATAGTACAACAAAATAAATATACAACCATTGGATTTTTCCAAGATAAGAACATACCCTACATACAAAATCTGAACATGACAAAAAGACCAATATTAGGTATAAAGGGAAATCATAGCCATAACCTATCTTCCTTCTAGTTACTAGGTAAAAAATATCATGAACAGATTTTGCTCTAGCAATCAAATCAAATCACACAAAAGCAAAGATCCTATAAAAAAAGTTAGGTATTTTGAAACAAACATCAACATTTGCTTTTAGCACTAGCTAGCACATAGCAAGGTAAAAAACAACAAAGAAAACACGGTGAAATGAAATCCATACACAACAACACAAAGGGTTGGATTTTCATCAAACAAAAGCAACAATTTTTCATGTAAGAATAATCAAAAAGGCCTAAAAAAAACGTAAAAATAGGGAGAGAAAACACATAAACTTTCTGATTCATCACAAGAATTCAAAATGGTACTAAAAGACAACATTTTTAACAAAAACAAGGATTAAAATAGGGTGGTAAAAGGAATCATCAAATTATAATGATTAAATACCTATAAAAAAATCACTAGATTAAGCGATTTCAACATATACAGATCAATAAACATAGAAAAACACCATCATCATCTGCAAAAATATGAATAAAAAAAGGAACTTTAAGAGGATTGAAACATGAAAGAAATTAGAAATAGATTAGAGAAACCTTGTATGAAAGACGATGAGTCGAATAGTGTCAGTGTGGAAAAGGGTAGGAAGACATTGAGCGAGATAGTGAGTAAATATATATAGAAAAAAGAAAGGGAAAAAAAAGTATGTATTATGGGTATTGGGTGGTGATGAAATTAGGAATGAATGGGAATTAAGAGTAACCACAAAAACAAACAACTTTATGGTGAAAAGAGAATAAGGGACGTATGAAATTTTGCTTAAAATGGAAGAACAATGAAATGGGTTGGTCTAGATTTGGTTGATAAACAAGGCCAAGCAAACACACTAAATAGAGAGAGAGGGATGGATGGTGCTTTGCTTTTCTATGGGGGAAGAGGGAAGGGAGAGTGAGCTTAGTATTTTACTTTCTTTTTTTTGGGTTTTCTTCTATATTTTTTTATTAAAAATAGTTTGAGTCTTCAAATAGTAAATGTCAATGTACAAGTACAACCTCAAATATAAAAGAAAAATATTAAAAAATGATTAATGCTTTTAGAAAAAATAATGATAACATCAAAGTTTTTCGCCACACTTTTTATACTCACTATGAGAGTATTTGATTCATAGATGATTCAAATGTGACATATTTAAGGGTGACAAACCAACATGTCTATTATATTAGATATGTCTTATAAAAATCAGTTAAAAAATAAAGTAGATATAATTGAGAGTGGGAATCTAAAACTTTGATTGTTTTATAAAATTTGAGGATATAATTGAGGGTTTATAATATTTATTCGACCTGCAAAAATGTGTTGGAAAAATAGATATGTTGCAAATATGTGTTGGCAAAATAGACATGTTCGCACGGATCAGATCCATTTTGTTATCCCTAAACATTCACTTGAAATATCTAATATGTAGGGGTTGCAAAACGGGTTTGACTTGTTAGACATGCTTGTTTTTCCCGTATTTTAGTGCAGGTGGACCAAGGGATTAACCTCGCACCCTTTAAAATGTATGTTCTGCCCTGTTCCGTTTTCTTTGTGGGCTTTTGAAAGTATAGACATTTACATAAATTTTTACGTTTTTAAGCTTAAAATGTGTAGTGTCCGCGGCCTTTTCCTACTCCGCCCTCATTTTTTTTTGGGACAAACCTAGGTTTTAAGTCGGCATCATCACTATGATCACCCACTCACCCCGCCCTGCCCTGTTTTTTTACGGGCTTTTGCATGGTGGGTCTAAATAGGGTGGGGATATCCGTTTTCCACCCCTACCCACATGTAGTTTCTTTTTTCTTCTATGAAAAACGTTCATTTGTACATTGACAGTGAGTCAAACATTAAATCAAGCAATCTCTTTGAAAGTTGGATTTTAGAGAATTTTAAAAGAAAAACTTTTGGAGAGTTGCGTTTATATTTTAAAATGTATTTGATATTTTTAAAATTTTAAAAATAACATAATATATTAAAAATTATATTATTTTCTAAACTTTTGTAGATTATTAAAACATATCAAAATATAGACACAATCATTCAAAGCATTTCTTTTTAGACTCCAACTCATTGTGGTTTTGTCCTAAAGTAATATTTGCAAATGCACCTGAAGGATATCTGACATACACATAAATGAAAATTTGGTTATGCATTTTATTAAAAATGTGAAGTAATGATTGATTTAAGTTTTATTGTTTAGTTGATAAAGTGAGCTATTTCCAATGGTGATTAGGTTAAATAACATGTGAAATAATATTTTAAAAATCAAATCAAAGAGTGAATCAATTAGACCTCTATATTATGGATTAAATAGTTAGATGTATTCAATCATAAGTTAATTTTGACTAAAATAAATATCATGAAATAATCTGATGATGAATAATAAAATAATAAATCAATCAAAATGAAAAATAATTATATGAATTCAACCTTAGTTTAATCTAATTCAATCAAATCACGCAATCAAATCAATAAATGAATTAGTTAGATCTTGATACAGATATTCAAATTGATTGGTTCAATTTAATATATATATATATATATATATATATATATATATATATATATATATATATATATATATATATATATATATATATATATATATATATATATATATATATATATATATATATATATATATATATATATATATATATATATATATATATATATATATATATATATATATATATATAAAGAAAGAAATCTAAACATCTTTTAAAAAAGGTTAGAAAGTAACATAAAAAGACAATAATAAAAAAGAAATTAAACCATTCAAAGTATACTATACGACATTTCCATAGAAATTATCATCACAATTTAGCTCTCATTTCAATCGCAGTCTTCATACTCAAGTTTCCATCTTGGAGAGTATGAAGCAACTTACAAACTGTTCGAGGATGGAATATTATGGACTGCGATTAACAATAGGCGGAGCACAAGATCTATGGTTTATGATGTTTATAGGTTTGTTACTAGATTGTTTTTCTCTTCACCCTTTCTTTTAATAATGCTTGAATCCTTTCTAGAGGGAGAATATCAAAGGGCAGCTAGGTTTTTCCAACCTCTTTTCATGCTCAATTTATATTCGATCTGTTTTTCATGTATGTTTTTGAAATCTATGGCTCTAATCTAATTATTAAGGCCCGATTTATGAGGTATATGATTCGGTCCATTATAGTTGTAGTTCTTTTGGGCCTGTTCAAAGTATAATAAATATTTTGTTAGGGTTTCTCATTACACCCTATATATTTCTCTCAAACCCTATGACACTCCAAAAACACTCATATCAAAAAGTTATCTTCTAGACGCATTCATTAAATGTTTTTCATATGATCTTACTTAATAAAAGAGCAAAGGGATGTGTCTGGAACATAGAATCTGAACACAACATCCAAAAGTTAACTTTGAAAGTAACTTTCAAAGGTTAATTGAGTTGTTTATACAAATAAATTATATAAACTAGCCAATGTAGTTGAATATGGACTGTTAAGTTATTCTCCAAAAGTTAACTTTTAGATAGTGTGTTTGGATGTTATATTCTAGACATACCCCTTTATTCTTCCACTAAGTAAGATTGTATGAACAACATTGTAATGAGTTTATTCAAAAGATAAGTTATTAACAATGGTATTTTTGGATTTCATATGGTTTAAGAGAAATATATAGGGTGTAATAAGTAACTCCGTATTTTTTTATGATGATGCACAACTCTTAAGCATCAAACAATTTTGGTGTAACTATGAGCCTATTGTGGCTTTGGCTCTAAGATTGTTCCATAGCTAGTAAGGTACAATGTATATAATTATTCAATATTAATAACCTTTTATGGCAATTTTTCATTCAAATATTTTAAATTTTATTAATTTTTGGATTGTAATTATACAATTTAATTTAATAACCAATCAAATTATTATTAACAAAAGGAAATGGTCTGTTTTTTACTCAAGAAAATGAAACTAGTTAGATTTTTTTTTAATGTCACAATTACATATAACGTGTAGGTTTCTTCCATGGTGCAAGATCTTCGCATTCATGCATGGTGTTCCACTTATTTAAATCGATGGGTTAAACTATCCAACAAAATCTTATAAAGAGACATATTTCTCTCATTCAACTCTTTTCATGTAACTTACTGGTTTTCTAGAATCTTAGTATAAGAATACCATAACTATAACAAATAATATATTTTACGATAAAACTTTCGCCTAAGCCAACGAACAACCGATGTGTAAATCATAAGCATACTACATTTCAATTTTTAAAGAAATAATACTACATACTCCCTCGGTTATGCTGGAAAGCGAGAGGAAAGGTTATGATTAATTCCCATTTAAATCTCAACAACTGCATTTAAGCACTTTTTTTTTAGATTTTCTTTTATGACATATTCCCTCAGTTTATCTGACAACAGAAAGGAAAGGTTTTGATGAACCCCTCCTTCAAATTTCAGCAAAGTCATTTTAGTGCATTCTATTTTTATTAATTTTTATTTGATACTTACTCTCTAGGTTTTGCTGGAAACTAAGGGTAAAAATGTGTGTTGGTTTATTTAACCAACGAATCTTTGTCGTCCACTTAT